CAGTTGACATGTCCATATACCCCCCAACAAAACTCCATTGTAGAAAGAAAACATAGACACCTACTAGATGTAGCCAGAAGCATAATGTTTCACTTCCAAACACCAATAAAATACTGGGGAGAATGCATATTGACAGCAAGCTACTTAATAAACAGGACACCCTCTCCTGTCATCCAAAACAAAACACCATACCACATTCTCTTCAACAAAGAACCAAATTACAACAGCCTAAGAGTCTTTGGATGCCTATGCTATGCAAAGAACAATAAAATCTCAGACAAGTTTGAACCAAGAGCAGTAAAAGGAGTCTTCCTTGGTTACACAACACTGACAAAGGGATACAAAATCCTAGACCTAGAAAAAGGAACAATCTTTATAAATAGAGATGCAGCCTTCTACGAAACTGTCTTCCCGTTTAAAAATAAACAAGAAAAAGAAGTCATAAACCCATCCTTAATAGAAGACATAAATTACACAACAAACAAAACGACAGAACAAACTACACAAAGCAAAAGAAAAGAACCAGAACCAACAACACAAAGGCCTAACAGAGAAACAAAAAGGCCTAAAAATCTAGAAGACTACATATGCTACAATGCAAATAAATCAAAATACCCAATAGAAAAATACATATCCTATGATAATCTATCAGAAAAACACAATGCTTTCTTAACAGAAATAAACAAAGAGAAAGAACCAAAATCATACACACAAGCAATAAAGGAATCAAAATGGTGTGATGCAATGGAAAAAGAGTTGAAAGCATTAAAAGAAAACAAAACATGGGAAATTGTAGAATTACCAGAAGGAAAGAAAGCAATAGGAAACAAATGGGTATACAAAACAAAGTTCAACTCAGATGGAACACTAGAAAGGCACAAGGCCAGACTAGTAGCAAAAGGATATAACCAAGTTGAAGGAATAGATTATACCGACACCTTTGCACCAGTCTCTAGGATGACAACACTAAGGACAATAATAGCCTTAGCAGCCCAAAACAGATGGCATTTACACCAAATGGACGTCCAAAATGCCTTCTTACATGGAGATCTAGAAGAAGAAGTTTTTATGAAAATTCCCCAAGGCTTAAAAATCAAAAACCAAAAGGAACAAAACCTAGTGTGTAAACTAAAAAAATCCCTATATGGTCTTAAACAAGCTTCTAGAATGTGGTTTCATAAACTAAACAGTGCACTACAAACAATAGGGTTTAAACAAACCAAGACAGACTATGCACTCTTCATAAAAGAAGAACAAAATTCAAAAACATTCATACTAGCCTATGTAGACGACCTATTAATCACAGGGAATAACATTAATCAGATAAACAAAACAAAAAAAGAATTGGCAAATTTTTTCAACATCAAAGATCTAGGAAAATTAAAATACTTCTTAGGACTAGAATTCACCTATGCACAAACAGGAATATACATGGGGCAAAGAAAATATGTACTAGATCTGCTAGAATCAACTGGATACCTAAATTCAAAACCAACAACTACACCAGCAAAGAAAACACAAGAAAATAACAAAAAAGAGAATGATGAAAAAGAACTAGAGGATGCAACACAATACAGAAGCATAGTAGAAAAATTGGTATACCTAACAGTAACCAGACCAGACATAACATACGCAGTAAATACATTAAGCCAAAACATGGCCAAACCAAGGCAAAAGGATCTAAATGCAGCACATAAAGTGCTAAGATATATTAAACAATCACCTGGTTATTTGCTGTCGTATTCTCAGGATCCAAAACTTCAGGATTAAGAGCCTTCTCAGACTCTGACTGGGCATCATGCCCTTCAACAAGAAGATCCACAACAGGATTCGCCATTTTTCTTGGAGGGTCCCTAATATCATGGCAAACAAAGAAACAACACACAGTTGCTCGATCATCAGCAGAAGCAGAATACAGGGCATTGGCATACACAAGTTGCGAGATAACATGGATCATTAATCTACTAAAAGAAATCGGAACCTACAAAAATGAGACCCCAATACTCTACACAGATAGCAACTCTGCAGCAGCAATAGCAAAAAATCCAATACTACATCAAAGAACAAAACACATCGAGATCGACATTCACACAGTGCGTGACAAAATCATGGAGAAAAACTTGAAAATAGACAGAGTAGACTCAAGAATGAATGTAGCCGATATATTCACAAAACCAGTAACAGGAACACTATACAAAACACTACTGATGCAACTCGGAATGAAGAACATACATCAAGGAAGAGGAGAAAACAAAATGCAAGAAGAAGAAGGAAGAGAAGGAAACCTGTGAAACGAAGCAACTCCCGCCAAACCCAAACCCTAGTGCCACCAATCAAAGGAAAAACCCCACAAACACACCCTTTTATAAGAACACACTAAACCCAATATCCACATCCGAACACCCATATCCGAATACCCATATCCGAATACCCATATATCCATATACACCATCTATTTAATCAAACATCTACATTATCCGAATATAAGCCCATAACCCAATATTAAGCCCAAATCCTAGTAGTTTATGACCTTATTTTCGAGGGGGACTATTAGAATACTAGAATTATTGTGAAAATATCATACAAGTCCCTACAAAAACACATATATCATATTACTTAATAGCCAACAATATCTTTTCAAATATACACCCAATCCTTAATTCATTACTCCCAAATATAAGCATTCCTAAACCTATTTATTACCACAATTAAGTACACCTACCAAACTCACCTAAACCCTCATAGCCGTTGGTGATCACCTCCATAAATATAGATCAACACAACTCAAACCTTAGGTTTTGGAATCAATTCCTTGTTCCTAAATCACCATCTCCATTCTTCAAATCCATCTTCTGGAATCTGCAAATCTGTCTTCTGGAATCTCAAGGCATCGAATCAAGTCATCTGTTCATCTGGAGATTCTTCATCTGATCTACTCATCATCTTCATCATCTCCAGATCTCTGCTGCAATCATTATAAATCTGTATCAACATTTATCTTTAATATTATCATTTATAAACTGTTATCATTCTTAGACTATTATAAATAATATCATTCATAAGCTCAGTAGCAATTCTAACACAAATCAAGAATTCTTAAACGAATTCGGATTTTAACGACGAATTTTTGGATATCCGAATTTGACCGAATAAAATTCGGATTTCAATTCAGGTATCCGAATCTGAAAAATCCGAATCCGGATAGTCATATTCAAATTCGAATGCGGATTCGAATACGGATTCCAGTATTAACCATTGTTAAAACATAAAACAATGACTAATGTTATTATATTGCAGAAAACAAATAAAATCTAATAAAAATATTTAAATACTATTAGATTTATTCAAAATCCTTCCTTGTTTCATATATTGGCTTCTTTATCTTGCCATTTATAAATGTTGTTTTCTTTCTTAATACAAGGGAAAACTTCATTGAGTTGGCCCAGGCTACATATTTAGCTTCTCCTCTGAGTTTGTCAACAACCATCTGAGCACTAGGATGATCTCCAGCAGTAAGAAAATATTGTGATTTTCTTGAAACCTTTTTACTCATTGACTGATGGCGTCTTTTATTTACTGACCTTTTATCTTTTCGTCTGGATGAGCGAAAAAATCTTGGATTATCTCCAGAGTTTGAACTCAATGATGCTTCTTCATGGGAATTCTCTAAATATTCACCCGAGTTGACCATTGTGGAATTGTAGTCTAGATTTACATCATTTCCAACTGATACCATATTATTTTATCTAAACGACTGACCTGCAAAGATGATCGGATTGTAGCACGGTGGCCGAACCTGATGTGGGCAGAAGCCACACGTAGAGGGCAAAGTTTACTTGCTTAGAAGGGGGCAAAGATTAGGTCTACAGCAGTAACTGTAAACTTAGGTGGTTAAGACGATTCTTGCTTAATCTGTCTAAACCTATTAACTCTGTAAATTTTGTATTAATTAATCATGATTACAAGATCCATATTTATACAATTGTTTCAACTTTAATCAGTAACATATATATCTATTACAATTTGTTATTGAGCCCATGTGGAATTGGCCTGGCCCATTATGTCATCCAGAATTGGCCCATTATGTGTATTACAGTTTAGGAGATTGACTGGATAAGAAATTTCATCAGTCCTAACAGGTTTACCGAGCCGAACTCGACTTCATCAGTCTAAACTCGGACTCGTCTCGTTTAGCTTAACGAGCCTAGTCCTTAGGCTCATTGCACTACAAGAAAGGATGCTTTTTTTTACTAACTCTAGCGACTAATTTCGAGGTTGGTCGCTTATATTTGATTTTTTGAGATCACTTTTGAAGTTGGTCGCGAAGTTGGTCGTCTATAGTATAAAGCGAAAACTTTTGCGATCAACTCCGAAGTTGATTGTTTCCCTAGCTCTAATATATTTCTATTCATAGTTATGCGAAATCCATTCATCTTTTTTATTTGAGTGATTGTAAACCCACAAAATCCAGATTAGTTGTCAAATCAATGGTCGCAGATATTGTAATTAATCTTGTAATAAGAGTTCAAAAGAGAGTTGAAAACACAATGATACAAGATCAAGAACAACACAACCTGACAGTCGGAGGTGCCCCAGATCTAAGGTCGATTAAAATCCCAAATGTCCAAATCAATCCCTGAAATCGAGTCTCAGTTCTAATTACTTATTTGTTGTTAAACAAAGTAATCAAGTGCTCGATATGCGCGACAAGAGCAAAACGGAGTTACGGTTGGAAGTTGATGACGGCGACAGCTTGGTAAGAATGTTTAGGGTTGATTTGAGATGATTATGGTGTCAAACGAGCCGAGTCGAGCTTTAACTTATTGAGCTGGGTTCGGACTCGACTCGTTAAGGAGTTATCCAGGCTCAGGCTCGAGCTTACCAAGCCTGATTTGGCCAAGCTCGGGCTCGGCTCATTAATGATTTGCCAAGGTTCGGGCTCGAAGTTCGCGAGTCCGGGCTCGAGCTTAACCTGAAATTGTAGATTAAAATAAATACTTTGAAAAAATAAGATATCGATCCTACAACCTCTTCCATACTAAACAAGTACTTTACCATCTAAGCTATATCCCCATTCTCTCTAAATATAATATATTTTTATACTTTTCTTACTGAGCCCATCGAGCTTAACGAGCTCGAGCTTGGACAACGAGCTCGAGTTTTAGGCTCATGCTCGGCTCGTTGGGCTCGCGAGCCCGAGCCGAACTTTATTTGACACTTTAAAGATGATGGATGTTACAATCACTACAACATTTATACAACTTCTAGAATGGAAATTCTAAATTACTTAGGGTTGATTCTTCTTGCAATTATTTAAAATAAAATTGACTCCCACTAATTGACTTAGCCACTTTAGTCTGAACCCATCTGGTAGTCTCCACACCAAGCCGGTTTACGAGTCTGGCGTCTTGGTTTGATCCAATTCGCAGCCGGTTCAGTTTCCCTTAACGATCTTGATCTGTCATCTGTTCCGAATTGTGAAATTAGCTCAGAAGCTTCCCCATAGTCGAGTAAAATAATAAATATATAATAGAGATAAAATAATAAAATGTTAACCATAGAATAAAATAATAAAATAATACTGTCATGTTTGCTCTGTTTTGTTTTGTTTTGTTTTATTTTATTTTATTTTATGCACAAGTAAATTACCAAAAAAGAAAGATAGTTTTTTTTTTGTTACAATCATTTTCTAAAGCTAAAGTGATGATACTTTTTATAATTAAAAAAAAAACATGAAAAACAATCTAATTTGGTGAATGATGTCAGAATTGGGCCCATTTATTTGGATGCTTGAAGTCCAATTTGTCAACTAACCATGTTTGTGCTTTTAAAGCATCATTAATATATGCAATTTTTATCATTCAAATATATTTTTTTATGTAATTACAATAATACACATGCACATGCTATCCAGAGGTTGACAACTCTACATCTGTAGAGAGGTATCCTCTGTTATCAAAAATAAAATTAATATTGCTAATAACAATAACTTAATATAGTTGGATTCAGATGTTACAATTGATCTCAACCATCCAAATATCCAACAAGATAACTAGGGGTGATAATAATAGACACAGATTCGTAAAAAAATACGACACGATACGATTTTAATACGACACGTTTATAATAATGTCGGGTTGGTGTCGAAAGTTTTAACACGATTAATAATAGTGTTGGTTTAGTGGTTGTCTTTAAAAACACAACACTATACGATTACACGAAACGTAAATTAATACGACAATTATATAACACGATAAAACGAAAATATAATATAATATTATTAATTAACTATGTTTATCTTTTATGTAATATAGGTAAAATAATATTTTTATGTTAAACCATTTAAGTTTTATATAAAATATTGTAACCATAAAATAATAAAGGTAAAATAATAATTATGAGGTAAAATAATAACTATATAATAGAAATAAAATAATAAATTATATACAATGGACGGTTGTGAGAGGATTTGATATTTTTTTTCAAGATGTGAGACTAGAATCACACAAGCTCTTTTTGGCTCATTATAAAACGAAACTTTCTTCTATTTTATTATTATAAAATAATAGTCTCGTGTTGTGTCGACACGAATTTGATATCGTGTCTGTCATGTCGTGTTGATACGGATTTTGTCGTGTTCGTGTCGATGAAAAAATTAATCGTGTTCGTGTCGTGTTGACACAAATTGTCAGGCTAAAGATAACAATAGCTCAATTGATCGTGTCGTGTCCTGCGTGTCGAATTTCAATACGTCAAAATACGCCAAAAAAATCTTAACCATTAGATCGACATTTCGTCGTACATGAGTTAATGTCTTTTGTAATTTTGTTATACATTTTTTTTCGTCGTATATGTGTTAGTGTCTTATACAGTACGTTATTTTAGCTATTGGATTAAAAATTACTGTATTTTTAAATTACCGTATTTTGACGGTACGACGCACTTAAAAATTACCGTATTTTTGGTATGATTTTATTGAGACTGTTCATTATTTTCTATGTTCCTGATAGAAGTTATTTAATTAAAAAAGAAAAAGTTTAAAGATTTATACAAATTTTGCATTCTTCTTATTTCGTTTTAATCCTTACCGGCGGTACCGGCGTTACCGACCACCGAGTGTTTGTCGTCTTCTAGAGATTGTTGGTTTGATGGGCGAAGACCAATTTGATCTTTCCTTTTGTCAATCTACTCCTCTCTCTGCCGCAGGGGTGGTGTGAGGAAGAAAGACGGCGGGGACAGCATTCAGATTCATCATTCTGGCATCTTCATTTTGTCCAATGGATCCAGATTGCTCGGATTTCCAACAACGGGATCCCACTGGACGATATGGAAGGGTTGGTGTTAATTTTTATTATTATTACGTCTTTGCTTTGTTTTCTCTTGTTTTTAATCCCTTTCTTATCGTTCTCTGTTTTTTTTTATATATCTTTATAAAAAAAAGTACAATGAAATCCTTGACAATGGTTGTTCGAACAATACAGTGTAAGTTCCCAAATCCCTAAATTTTTCTTCTTTTGATATTTTGTTTTTGTCTGAATCTTCTGATGATTGTGTGTGTGTTTTTTTTTTGTTTTTTTTGGGGTGGTGGTGGATGATTTTAGGGAAAGATTCAAGGCTTTTGATGAGTATGAAGGAATTGAAGTTGCCTGGAATCGAATCAACCTCAATTGTTTTCCTCAAAAGAACCTTAAGCAACTTGAGATATTGCATTCAGAGATTCTCCTCCTCCAAACCCTAAATCACAAGAACATCATGAAGTTTTATACTTCTTGGGTTGATACTTCCAAGAATAACATCAATTTTGTCACTGAATTGTTCACCTCAGGGACACTTAGACAGTGAGTCATTTTATTTGATTATATTATGTATACCTTGGTTGTTCTGTTTATTTGGGCATTGTTTCATTTTGAACTGGGGATTCTGTAGGTATAGATTGAAGCATAGGAAGATCAACATTGGGGCTGTCAAGGATTGGTGCAGACAGATCTTGAAAGGTCTTGCTTACCTTCATAGCTATAATCCACCTATCATTCATAAAGATCTCAAGTGTGATAATATCTTTATTAATGGAAACCAAGGGGTGGTTAAGATTGGAAATCTTGGTCTTTCTACAATTATTCAGAAATTTCATGCATCGCAGTGTGTCGGTAAGCTTTTCAAATTTAAACTTTAACTTTTTTTGAAAGAATTTTCCATGTCGTTATCTCACGATACGTAGATAGATTTTTGGAATCAATACTTTCGTGCAAAATTGAAGTATTTTGATACCCAATTCTCTTCTCAGATTTGAGTATTTTTTTTAGATAGTTATCGATTAAAGATTTGTTTTTTAGATGTGTCTCAAAATGCTGTTTTAAAAAAGAAATCCATCTTTCAATTGAAGATTTCATATTTGTATACGATTTGCAAATCGAAATTAACTTAAAAAACAGAAATTTAGATTTTAAAGAATGTCTTCACCCCTCCACACAACATTCTTTATATTACATATATGGTATTCAAAAGCAGAGATGTTTTATATCTCATACTTTGGTGATTTTTTACACACATCTCATCGATCTTAAACAACTTTGAAATTTAAATTGCATACCTTGAAATCTTATATTGTATTTCTCAAATCATGTTCATAGGAACGAAAGAATTCATGGCTCCAGAAATGTATGGGGAACAATACAATGAATCGTTTGATATATACTCCTTTGGATTGTGTATCTTAGAAATGGTTACCTTTGACTACTCTTATACCAAATCCACGCATACATCTCAGGTTTACAAAAAGGTTTTGTAATTTTTTTACCTAACTATATTCCATTAATCTAAGATTTAGTCTTACATCAACTAATACCAAACTATCTAACAGCTCATCAATTATTTTTGTTTTGTCAATAGAGCTTGAAGCCTAAAGCGTTGCAAAAAGTAAAGGATCCTGAAGTTAGACGATTTGTGGAAAAATGCTTGGCCCCGGCTTCTCAGAGGTTATCGGCAAAAAAGTTGCTGAAGGACCCTTTTCTTTTTATTGGGGATAACGAAGCTAGTAACGAGCTAGGGATTCTTACTAAACAACTTATTTTAAGCCCAAGTAATAATGGTAATAACCAATTGGTGCTCAATTCAAGTCCTAATGATATTGAATCTGAACTACAAGACAACGAGTTGTATCTACATGACAATATCAAAGCTGAACTACATGAACCAGATACTAGTCCTAAAGGTGAATTTGTTCCCAATGTCGAAATTACCATTAAAGGACGAAGTGAAGATGGAGAAATCCTTCTAATGCTTAGAATTTCCGATAAAGAAGGTACACACATTTTTTTGGAAAAATAAAAATAAAATCCAAGCCTCCGTTTATGATTTCTTATGAACTCTTTTTTTATGTAGGTCGTGTTCGAAATATTCACTTTCCATTTGATATTGAATCTGACACGGCATTAAGTGTAGCCACAGAAATGGTCGGAGAGTTGGGTATAACGGAGTATGATGTTAGAAATATAGCAGACATGATTGACGGTGAAATTCCATCGGTAGTACCAGATTGGATGCCTCGTTTGTCAAGTATAGATGAAACCAGCACAACCGTTAGTATGCTGTCTCCTCTACATGAATCAAATTGTTCTTCTTCATGCAACTCACCAGCCAACAATAGCTTTTCAGTTAAAAATTCTAGTCACAATAATATTCCAAGTTCCCAATGTCCAAAATTTCAACGTTCAGCCTCCACACATGGTCGGTTTGAGGAGGTGAGGTATAAGGTCGAAGGACCTTCACACAAACGATCAAAATCATTTTCTATAAAATCTGTTGGCCCTCCTCCAACTCCTTCCTGGGTTGCAGATTCTTCTATATATGATAAATGCTTGGATACAACTGGAATTGGGTATCAACACCCACCACCTGAGTTGCCGGATGATTATCAAAATGAGATCAGGCAAGAACTCCGATATCTCAAAGAGAAATATCAAGTGAAAGCGCAAGATCACGATAATATGCACCTTCAACTTGATGATGTTAAAAGACCTTCATCTCCGACTTCTGAAAATGGCAATTCGTCTTCATCTTCTTATAATTCTTTG